TACCCCCAAGGGCTTGTTTTTCCTAGGACCGAGTTTGCATGTATTGCTTCCTCCCCCCCCCTTTCTCTCTCTCTCTCTCTCTCTCTCTCTCTCTCTCTCTCTCTATCCCTCATTCCCTCCCTCCCTCCTCTCTCTCTCTCTCTCTCTCTCTCTCTCTCTCTCTCTCTCTCTCCCCCTCTCTCTCCGTCCCTCCCTCTCCCTCCCTCCCTCCCTCCCTCCTTCCTTTCAACCCATCTCCCATCCCTCCATCCTTCCCTCCTCCCCATCTCCCTGGCTGCCTTCCGCCGCCATGCTCCCGGGAACACGGGGGCGCCCCCACGATCGCCTCTCCATATATTGTCCCCATCTGCCCCTACCAACCCCATCCAGCACGCCAATGCCAATACCAACGACGCTCTCAGTTCTCCTGCTATTTCGTGTCGTTGCTGGAGGCTTCGTTTGGATGGCGCCACCCTGTGGATCCTGGGGCTTCCTGAACATGGGCGACGCGGGTCAATTTCGAAATCGATCGAGGAGAGGATGCGAGGAGAGAAGCTTCAGGAGGAATGGAGGATGACAAGAAAAAGTGAGGAAGGTGAGGAACGGGGAGAGGGGGATGATAATCGATCGATGCATCGATCACGTCGGCGGATGACGATTCGAACGGGCTCGCGCCTGGTCGGACGTACGTGTTTCGAAACCCTCCGATCGCGAATGCGAGATCCGATTCGAAACCCTTACGCTCGGGTCGCTCGCGTCGGCCCCAGTGGCTCTGCGACCTCCACTTCGGCCTCGACCCAAGGTACAAGCAAGCGCAACACCACCATCCTAGGGGATACCAGCAACCAGTACGTGAGGGACAGTAACATGGTGGCCGAGGAAGCTGCTTTGGAGCCGTCCTCGTCTGTCCTCCACCTCCCCCTCTCACCTGGGGCCTTCCCCCATCCCCCTCCTCGACTTACCTCTGCCTCCTCCTCCTCCTCCCCGTCCTCCTCCTCCTCCTTTTCCTCCTCCTCCTCCTCCTCCGCCTCTTCATCCTCCTCCTCCTCCTCCTCCTCCTCCTCCGCAATATGCATGGCGGCTAACAGCTCGTTGCCAGTATCGCAAAATGGTTGTTTGATAACGGGCGGTACTTCGTGATAGAGCAACCCATGAATTCGCTCTTCTACTCTCATCCCGACCAGGCTTGCGGGCCTACGGTGGAAACGTGTCATGGGGAGGCGGGTGGGTGTAGGCCTGGGGAACGGTCGGCCACGAGGTGTAACTTCTGATTGCCCGGGGACCGCCCCAGCGGGCGGGCGGGTGAACAAGTTGGCAGGCCGACCTGGTTGACTGGCCGCGCAAAGGGGCCCCCGGGGAGGGGGGATCAGCATAATCGGAATAAGCAATCCCAAAGGTGGACGCGCACGAGCAAATCGGCAGCAAGGCAATCATGTCCTGGCTGGGAGGACCGATCCCTATGTTCGAGACGGGACGGCAGTGGGAGAGAGATGTGAAACGCTCGGGAGGAGATGAGGGGAGATGGGAACGGGGGTCGGCGGGGAATGGAGAAACGGAAGGGAGAGGGAGCGCAAGAGGGGGATCGAGAGCGTCGTCGTCGTCGTCGTCGTCGTCGTCGTCGTCGTCGCCCCGTCGCCGTCGTCGTCGTCGTCGCCGTCGCCGTCGTCGTCGTCGTAGTCGTCGTCGTCGTCGTCGTCATGTTCGTCGTCTTCGTGTTCGTCGTCGTCGTTGTCGTCGTCGTCCTAGTCGTAGTCGTAGTCGTCGTCGTCGTCGTCGTCGTCGTCGTCGTCGTCGTCGTCGTCGTCGTCGTCGTCGTCGTCGTCGTCGTCGTCGTCGTCTTCGTCGTCGTGTTCGTCGTTCGTCATCGTCGTCGTCGTCGTCGTCGTCGAGGATTCGGGCACCCCTTGCCGAAGCCCACCCGCTTCATGGTCGCCCCCAAGATTGAGAAAGTGTTCAGCAAGCACATGATCATGAAGCGCCCCGCGCACCAGGACCGACGTCGCTTCTGGCGTCCCTCGTCCGTGTTCCGAGCCGCGTCCAGCCGCAGCGAGGGGGGGCCCTCCCTCCAGCCTCTTCTCACCTTTGCTGTCATCGACGGCCCTGCCACTCCCCCCCGAAAGGAGAAGGACGACGGCGATGCGTACGCCTGGCACGAGAACGATGCTGGCTGGGTCGAGGGGGGCAAGTCGCTCCGCGCGTCTGGCCACTACCCAGTGGCAATGTGCGAGGCCGCGCGTAGGGGAGGTATGCAGATCAGGATAAGAGGGGCTGTGGAGGAAAACAAGTGGATGTAGAGAGGGAGAGGGGGGAGGGCGAATGGGGAACAAGCGACAGGAAGGCGAAGAGGAAGCAGGGCTAAGCGAGGAGAGGGACGAGGGGCACGCGAGGGCACACACACCGAGAGCAACCGAGTCGCAAGCCCCTCGACTCGGCCCCGAAATGCTAATCGCACGTTCGATCGAGGCATCAGCGCATCGCGCTAGCCAGAGTCGCCGCTGCGGGAAGGCGAGGGCGGAACAACGGAGAAAGGATAACCCTGCCCTGTTCCCAGGAACCTTGCCTCCTCCTCCTCCATCCTCCGCCTCCTCCTCCTCCTCCTCCTCCTCCTCTTCCTCCTCCTCCTCCTCTCCCTC